CTCCCACAGTCACCATGCTTACCACAATCACAGCCACAACCCCCACCTAGCTCCCACAGTCACCATGCTTACCACGATCGCATCTCTGACACCTCGGATGACCTGATTGGCTCGCTCGCGGTCCGCCGGCACCTCATCGTGTAGCAGCATGTGGTCGGCAAAGTGGATGAACTGAGCAATGCTCTGGAACACCTGGTTGTGACTGGAGATGATCACCGAACTGAAATCGTCGACGAAAAAAACGGTGGCATCATCATCTCAATACGAACTCCGCCGACAAAAGCGGGGACAGCACACGAGAAAGACAAACGAAAGACGCTCGCTTCACGAATCTCGATTTTCTAACTCGAAGACAGAAAAAGTGATTACAGTTGGATCCATCTTCCTTCTCATCCCTTCTCTCACTCACCATCCCGCACCCCCCCCCCACTATCCATCCCTGTCCTCACCATCATTACTCCTCAGCCCATCCTCTCTCTATCTTACCTGTCGTCGTTGGTGTGGCCTAGCACGCTGAACACGGCGGTGACCGTTTCCAGGACGATGGTCGCTGAGCCAGGGAGCAGCTGCATCATGCTCTTCTCGATGACGTCTTGGAAGTACTTGAGCGCATAGAGGACGTCCTTCTTACACAGATAGAGCTTGTCCATCTCCTACAGCAGACGGTACATACACGCGTTACAACGTCCGCACTACTCGAGGAAATAACTACAGTTACGCATATCTACAAATAGATCCTTCAATGTCTATACCAGAAAACATCTACAGACGTCTTTACGCAGTGAGAAAACATCTACAGACGTCTTTACGCAGTGAGAAAACATCTACAGACGTCTTTACGCAGTGAGAAAACATCTACAGACGTCTTTACGCAGTGAGAAAACATCTGCAGTGTGTTGTGGTGGCCACAGGTGACTCAACAGACAATGTCAATCATTTTTATTTATCATTATTATCGTTAGGTTTTAGAATCCTTGTCGTCCTCAACCCAGCTCCACAGTTCAGTAACCTTCCCATGCTATGCCTTAGACACTACAAAGTCCCACGTGCGGCACCTTATCATCCTTTTGAAGGTTCGTCTCCATACACGCGACGCCCCCAAGTGGCGAGGTCTTAACGTGTTTCGTCGGCGACGGCGACCTGAGGGTGGCGCCCCCTGGGCTGACGCGCATGTTGTTGATGCGGTCCATGACGTCATCCTTGAAGGATCTGGCCCGCCGTGCCAGCTTCATCGACGGCTTATCTGCAACACGCGTAAACAAGCAGGACATCGTTATAGAATGCTAATTAGCCCATAATGATTAGTGGGTCCTCGCCTATTAATCAGGCTTTATCGCCTGTAGAATAGTGTTGAATGGAAGCGCGTAATCAGAATGAAGGGGGGAGGGGATTAAATGAAAGCTGGAAAAGATGAGAGGTGAAAAATATGGAATGTGGAAGAAATAGAACGTTTAACTTTAAATAGTATAACGTGGAAATGATGCAAGGTAGGAGTAATGGAAAGAATAAAAGATGGAAGATGGAAGTGATGAAATATAGAAAAGATGGAAGGGGGATAAGATGGAATCGAAAGTGAGAAAAATTAAGGTGAGCATTGACCACACTTGTTGTACATGTACAATAGCGACACTATTTGGTGGAGATGGAAACTGCGTGTATCAGATGTTTACTGACAGTCCTAAAAAAAATCATGGTGCACTGCGTCTGTGATTACACGAGCAGCAAAACTCGAGCAAAAGCCTCTTCGTAATGATAATATAAGTACACATGATCACAGCATTAGAGGCTGACCATAATCAGATCACAACCAAGATCAATGCGTGCGTGCGTGTGTGCGTGCGTGTACACGCGTGCTTGTGAGAGCCTGTGCGACTGTGTGCTGTTTATCATTGCAGCTTAGCGTGCGCGTACGCGCGAGCCGGCGCGCGTGTGCCTACTACTAAGAATAAATATTTCGAACTATGTTCCGACCGAATAAAGTTATTTTTGGCAGGACTCGGCATCGGTTCAGATTTGAGTGAGTCTATAGTTACTGTACGTCGGCCACCCGCTTACGCGATGCATGTGCTTCTAGCTACGTATATATAGTAGACACAACGCTAGGGTTAAAATATGTGTCAGGACGTAGCCATCAATAACAGAGCAAGCCATCAAAAACAAGCCATCAATAACAGAGCAAGGCAGGAGACTCGAAAGTAGGCCAGGGAGACTTTCTTTATATGTGAGATAAGAACGAATCAAAGAAATATCAATCATAGATAATCACCAATAGATAATCAAGAACGATAACCGAAGAAAGACAAATCAATGACTTAAATGTAGGTATGTCAACACAAATCGAAAATATATCAAAACATCAATCATATATGAGGACAAACCAACAAGTAGATATGCCCGTATAAGTAGGTAGGGAGTCGTGTGATGTTTGCGGGAGACTTATCTGGCATCAGACACTCAGGAATATCCGCTTTCTATTTAGACTACTATTGCGTGAGATGCGAGCTAATACACATGGTGCATGGTGCATTCATCAGTACTAAGCTGGTCAGGCGCACAGTCACGCAGGTCAACATAATTACTAAGGAAATTGACCACTTTGAAAAATTGAACTACTTAGTTCAAACTCTTCCAATCACCTTCGCGTAGAAAATTAATATGTCTTTCTGTACCAGCACCCTAGCCATCACCACATCACGTCCCATCGTAGTCCGCAAATGCAGACGTTATAACTCCGCTTTGCTAATCTGAGGGTGCGGGTTTATCCATTACTGGGGTCTGCGTCGGCTCGGACTAGTCCCATCGTAGCTCTACCAGCGTAGCGCTACCTGGAGCCAACCTACAGCGTGTGTCACCAAAAGTTAATCATAAACCATGGGGTAATAATCTTACTCTTGTGGTTACGGTTACCTTCACACCTACTTACCAGGGAACCCGCGCGGGGGGGGGGGGGTACTGTCCAATGAAGGACGTGAGTTCAAACCCCGGCCGGGGCAGTGAATTTTCTCAAGGTGTAAAAACCTGGCTCTCAACATTGGAGACTGTGAATCTCCCGTGGCTCGGGTGACCACGTAAAATGGCGGTCCCGTCTCTATACTAAGGCCAATGGGGACGTAAAAGAACCACTGAGGGCGCAAAAAAACTCTGGCTGTGACCACCGTGGGCTACGCAGTAAACTATCCAGATCCAGACCTGGAGCGGGATCGAAGGCGCCGGTAGAGCTGGTACCACCGCAGCATGCCCCTACTCTACCAGTCCACATCCTGTTCCCGCCCTCCAACACTCGCAACCACCATACGCCACACGCTAGCCACCACACCTAAGGCATTTCCGCATACTGCCACCACCGGCCGTGCCGGCTGCTTCCCAGCTGCATCATCAGCGGCCCCACTACTACTCTCATACCACGTTCTGCTACGTTTGGTGTGATGTGTCGCATACCAATTTCCAGTCATCGCACTCAGGCAGCAAGCACTAGCACACCTAAATGGGCGCTAACAAGCCCTAATGAGCAGTGTGGACCGCGCCTATGGCCGCGAATTCAGACCGTGACTAAACCACAGTTAATGTCGTTGCCTCACACGCGGCAGTACGAGTAAACGACTCGCAAATGATTTGCGTATTGCGTTTATTTTCGGGTTCGTTGAACGTCGACTCGTAATATCAAAGTCGCGCACAAATCCCCGGTGGCGTATTTTTAAGCTTCGTTATTATGTGAGACTGTACATGCCTTTTCACACAAAAAAATATAATCAATGCATGACAGCAATGCAGCACAGTGTGTCACTTACAAGCTGGTGTTGCTGTCTGACTCTGGCTCCTTGCTCCGCATTCCTCCGACCTCTGGAAGCTCTAGGGGTGGTTCACGCTGGGTGCTCCTGTCCTGTATTCTGTCAGCATGAAGCTGCACCAGGTTCTGTAGGGGGAGCAGGGAGAGGGCAGCTATAAACATCATCCAGGAGTAGAAATTGACTTTTGAACAAGGGGGGGGGGAGACTCAAAAAGAAAGAGTCTGCAGCAAAATGAGGGAGTCCGCAGTCTGAAATTCAAAACTAAAGCATAACAATAATAACACGTGCTTATTTTGAAGATTCATGTGATGCACGTCTGCCAAATTTTCTTTGGATATTTGCTTAAAAAATACAGTAATTCCGTGAGGCCGTGCTCTGGAACGAACTAGTTAGTATAGCAGAAATTTTAGGGAGTCACACGGACTCCTGCATATATGTCAAATCAGGGAGTCCGACAGAAAATCAGGGATTATTTGACTCCGGACTCCCGTTAATTTCGCACCCTGATCATCTACTAAACATCTACTACAGTCATACTTGTGTTAGCAGACACTTCTATAGAGCGGACACTTCTATAGAACAGACACCTCTATAGAACGGACGTCCGTCTATAAACGCCACTTGCCATTTGCCTTGAGTGGCAGTAATACAGTGTAATGACCTCTATAAGAGAGAAACCTGTCTATAAAGGACACTTTTTGGGTTTCCTTCAAACGGCAGTCATTCAGTGAAACCACTTCTATAACACCACCACCTCAATGAATACCTGTCTATAAAGCACGCTTTTGGGGTTTCCCTTGTGTGACTCTTAGGTTCGACTCTATACAGCTTTCCTACAGTTACTACGCAGTCATTTGCTACCACAATAGTAGCCACCACCCCCACCTAGCTCCCACAGTCACCATGCTTACCACAATCACAGCTACAACCCCCACCTAGCTCCCACAGTCACCATGCTTACCACAATCACAGCTACAACCCCCACCTAGCTCCCACAGTCACCATGCTTACCACAATCACAGCCACCACCCCCACCTAGCTCCCACAGTCACCATGCTTACCACAATCACAGCCACCACCCCCACCTAGCTCCCACAGTCACCATGCTTACCACAATCACAGCCACCACCCCCACCTAGCTCCCACAGTCACCATGCTTACCACAATCACAGCTACAACCCCCACCTAGCTCTCACAGTCACCATGCTTACCCACAATCACAGCTACTAGCACCACGCGCCCACTAGCTCCCACAGTCACCATGGCTTACCACAATCACTAGCTACCACCCCACCTAGCTCCCACAGTCACCATGCTTACCACCGAATCACTAGCCACAACCCGCCACCTAGCTCCCACAGTCCACATGCTTACGCACAATCATCAGCCACCACCCCACACGCTAGTCTCGCCACAAGTCACCGATGCTTAAACGCACACATCACAGCCACCACCGACCTAGCTCTCACAGTCACCATGCTTACGCACAATCAACAGCCACCACACCACAGCTCCGCACAGCTCACCATGCTTACCACAGATCACGGCCACCACTCCACACCTAGCTCCACAGTCACCCATGCTTACCACAATCACGCTACCACCCCACGTAGCTCCCACAGTTCACCATGCTTACCCAATCAACAGCTACAGACCCCCACCCTAGGCTCTCACGAGTCCACCATGCTTACGCCCACAATCACAGCCACCCCCCCCCGCTAGCTCCCGACAGTCACGCGATGCTTTACCACATATCACGCTACAAACCCCCCACCTAGCTCCCACAGCACCATGCTTACCACAATCACAGACCACCCACCCCCCCTAGCTCGCCACGTCACCATGCTTTACCACAACTCACAGCCACAACCCCCACCTTAGCTCCCAACAGTCACCATGCTTACCACACCTCACAGCTACAATCCCACCTAGCTCCCGACAGTCAACCATGCTTACCACAATCACAGCGCACCACCCCAAACCTATCTCGCCACAGGTCACCATCTTACACAATCCACAGGCTACCAAACCCCGCCTACTCCCTACAGGTCACCATGGCTTACCACATCACAGCCACCACCCCCACCTAGCTCCGCAACAGTCACCATCTTACCACAATCAACAGCTAACCACCCCCGACCCTAGCTCCCACATGTCACGCATGCTTACCACAATCACAGCCACCACCCCACCTAGCTCCACAGTCACCAATGGCTTACCCACAATCACAGCTACAACCCCCACCTAGCTCCCCACAGTCACCATGCTTCCGAACAACACAGCGCCCACAACCCCCACCTGCTTCTCGAGCAGTCCCCATGCTTACCACAATCAGCAGCCACCAACCCCGACCTAGCTCCCAACAAGTCCCCATGCTTACCACATCACAGCCACAACCCCCACCTAGCTCCACAGTCACCATGCTTAACCAAATCGACAGGCTCACCACCCCCTAGCTCCCACAGTCACCATGCTTACCACAATCACAGCCACCACCCCACCTAGCTCATCACAGTCCCCATGCCTTACCCCGCAAACAATCACAGCCACCACCCCCAACCTAGCTCACACAGTCACATGCTTACCACAATCACAGCTACAACCCCCACGCTAGCTCCCACAGTCACATGCTTCCACAATCACACCACACCAACACATAGCTCCCACAGTCACCATGCTTACCACAATCCGCTACCACCCCCACCTACTCCACAGTCACATGCTTACCCCAACCACCAGCCCACCACCCCACCTAGCTCTCACAGTCAGCCATGTTACCACAATCACCGCCACCACCCCCCCGACCTAGCTCATCACAGTTCACCATGCTTACCAAAATCACAGCCCCCCACCCCCACCTAGCTCCCCACAGTCACCATGCTTACCACAATCATCACAGCCACCACCCCACCATAAGCTCCCACAGTCACGATGCTTACACAATCAGCCACAACCCCCACCTTAGGTGCTCCCACAGTCACCGATGGCTTACGGCACAATCACAGCTACCACCCACCTAGCCCTACAGTCACGCATGCTTACACAATCACAGCTACAATCCCCACCTAGCTCTCACAGTCACCATGCTTACCACAATCACAGCCACCACCCCCACCCGGCTAGCTAACACAGTCACCATGCTTACTACAATCACAGCTACAAACGCAATCAACATATGCTCCCAACAGTCACCGATGCTTACTCACAATCACAGCTACAACCACACATCAGCTCCCACAGTCGACGCATGCCTTACTACAATCACAGCTCAACCCCACCCTCCAGCTCACACAGTCCGGCCATTGCTTACCACAATCACAGCCACCACACCTAGCTCCCACAGTCCACCATGCTTCCACATCAGCAGCCACCACCCCCACCGTAGCTCCGCACAGTCAGCCATGCTTACCCACAAAATCACAGCTACACCCCACCTAGCTCCCACAGTCAGCCATGCTTACCCACAATCACAGGCCACCACCCGCCACCCTAGCTCCACAGTCACCATGCTTACCACACCATCACACCCGACACCGCCCGCCTAGCTCCCACAGTCACCCATGCTTACACACAACACAATCCAGCACCACCCCCACCTAGCTCCCACAGTCACCCTGCTTACTCACAATCACAGCCACAACCGCCCGCCTAGCTCGCCACAGTCCGGCCCATGCTTACGCACCAATCACCCCGCCACCACCCCCACCCGTAAGCTCCCACAGTCACCATGCTTACCCACAATCCAGCTACAAACCCGCCACCTAGCTCCCACAGTCACGCATGCTTACCCACAATCACAGCCACGCAACCCCCACCACGCCCCCTACTCCAAGTCACCATGGCTTAACCACAATCAAGCCCACCCCCCACCTAGCTCCCACAGTCACCATGCTTACCACAATCACAAGCTACCCACCCCACCTAGCTCCCACAGTCACCATGCTTACCCACAATCACACCCACAACCAACACATAGCTCGCCACAGTCACCATGCTTAACACAACAATCGACAGCCACCACCCCCACTACTTCCCCAGTCACGCAATGCTTACCACAATCACAGCTACGCACCCGCCACCTAGCTCCCCACAGTCCCCATGCTTACCCACAATCACAAGCACCACCCCCAAACCTAAGCTTCCCACAGTCACCATGCTTACCACTAATCAACGCTGACCACCCCCACCTAGCTCCCACAGTCACCATGCCTACCACGCACATCACAGCCACCCCAGCGCCACCTAGTCTTCTCACAGGTCACCGATGCTTACCCACAATCACAGCCACCACCCCACCTACTCCACAGTCCCCATGCCTTACCACATCACAGCCACAACCCCCACCTAGTCCCACAGTGCACCATGCTTACCACAGATCACAGCTACAACCCCGCCTAGGTCCCACAGTCACATGCTTACCATCCAATCACAAGGCCACAACCCCCACCTAGCCCTCCCACACAGTCACCATGCTTACCACAATCACAGCTACAACCCCCACTAGCTCGCCACAGTCACCATGCTTACCACAATCACAGCCACCACCCCCACCTAGCTGCGCCACAGTCACCCATGGCTCTTACGCACACACAGCCACAAACCCCACCCTGCTTCCCACAGTCACCATGCTGTACCACAATCACAGCCACCACCCCCACTAGTCTCCCACAGGTCTCACCGCATGCTACTACAATCACGCTACAACCCCCGACCTAAGCTCCACACAGGTCACCATGCTTACCACAATCACAGCCCACCACCCACCTAGCTCCCACAGTCACATGCTTACACAATCACAGCCACCCCCCACCTAGCTCCCGGACAGTCACCATGGCTTACCAACCAATCACAGCTACCACCCCCCCTAGCTCCACAGTCACCCATGCTTACCCACAATCACAGCGCACAACCCCACCATAAGCTCCCACAGTCCCATGCTTACCCACAATACAGCCCACCACCCCACCTAGCTCCGCACAGTCACCATGCTTACCACAAGCACAGGCTACACCCCACCCTAGCTCCCACAGTCACCATGCTTACCACAATCACAGCACAAACCCCCACCTAGCCTCCCACGTACCATGCTTACCACAATCACAGCCACCACCCACCACCAACCTAGCTCCCACAGATCACCATGCTTACCAAATCCACAGCCCACAAAACCCACACCTAGCTCCACAGTCACCATGCTTACCCACAATCACAGCTACTACCCGCCCACTAGCTCCCACAGTCACCATGCTTACCAACAATCCACAGCCACAACCCACCTAGCTCCCACAGTCCTCCATGCTTACCACAGATCACAGCTACACCCCCACCTTAGCTCGCACAGTCACACATGCTTACCACCACAATCACAGCTACAATCCCCACCAGCTCATCACAGTCACCATGCTTACCACAACTCACAGCCACCACCCCACCTAGCTTACCCACACCATGCTTACTACAATCAGCAGCTACAACCGAACACATAGCTCCCACAGTCCTCATGCTTAAACTACAATCACAAGCCTACAACCAAACACATAGCTCCCACATCACAATGCTCACTACAATCACAGCTACAACCCCCACCCTAGCTCCCACAAGTCCGGCATGCTACCACATCACAGCCACCACCCCGCCACAGGTTTTGTTTTTTTTTTTTAGCTTCCCCAGCACCTGCTTACTCAACATCACAAGCCCACCCACCACTAGCTCCCACATCACCCTGGCTTACCACAATCAGCAGCTACAAACCCCGCCACCTAGCTCCCACAGTCACCATGCTTACCACAATCACAGCCACACCCCACCTACCCCCCCTAGCCCCACAGTCACATGCTTACCACAATCACACCCACAACCCCGTAGCTCCCGACAGTCACCATGCTACCACAATCACAGCCACCACCTCCCACCTAGCCCACAGTCACCATGCTTACCCACATCACAGCCACAACCCCCGCCTAGCTCCCAACAGTCCCCATGCTACCACATCAACAGCAGCCACCCCACCTTAGCTCCCCACAGTCACCATGCTTACCACAATCACAGCTAACAACCCCCACCTAGCTCCCACATCACCAGCTTCTCACAATCACAGCCACCCACCCACCCCACCAGCTCCCACAGTCCCATGCTTACCCACAATCAACAGCCAGCCACCCCCACCTGCCTCCCACAGTCAGCCATGCTTTAACGAACAATCAACAGCCCCATCCCCCACCTAGCTCCCACAGCACATGCTTTACCACAATCACCAGCTACCACGACCACCTAGCTCCCAAGTCACCATGCTTACCACAATCACAGGGCCGCACACCAACACATAGCCCCCACAGTCACATGCTTACAGACAATCCCCAGCCACCACCGCCACCGATAGCTCTGCCACAGTCACCATGCCTTACCACAATCACAGCTACACCCCCCACTAGCTCCCACGTCCCATGCGCCCTTTTTACCACAATCAGCAGCCACACCCCCACCTAGCTCGCCACAGTCACCCATGCTTACCCACAATCACAGCTACCACCCCACCTAGCTCGCCGACAGTCACATGCTACGCACAATCACAGCCACCACCCCTCCACCTAGCTCTCACGAGTCACCAACCTGCTTACCACAATCACAGCCACCACCCCCACCTAGCTCCCACAGTCCATGCTTACCACAATCACAAGCCACAACCCCCACTACTCCACAGTCACCATGCTTACCACAGATCACAGCTACAACCCCGTCTAGCTCCCACCGTCACCAATGCTTCACCACAATCACAGCCAAACCCCACCTAGCTCCCACAGTCACTCATGCTTACGCACATCACAGCTACAACCCCACCTAGCTCCCCACAGTGGCCATGCTTACCACAATCAATCACAGCCACTCACCACGCTCCCACTAGCTCCACAGTCACCATGCTTACCACAATCACAGCACAACCCCACCTAGCT